TTTAAACCATACAAATATTTAACAAGTTTACAAACTTTATTTTCCATTTTAGGTTCTATAAAACCTTCAGTTTGATTCATGTAAATTTATTCTTCCATGTCACCACTTTAGAATGTAGTTTTTACATCCATTTTGATGAATTTCCAAATTAAAAACACAAGTGCAATTTAAACTCTACTAGTAGTAACTTTAGAAACAGGAGAATACATATCAAAGAAATATACACCTTCTACTTGTTTATAACCAATAACAACAAGTATTGCCTTAAACTTATTTGTAGATCCATTTATTCTTAATTTTTTTTCAAAAATTCCATTTACACCTATACTTTTGTAGCCAAGAGGAAGGTTAGTCAAAAAACAATTTTTATTGACTTTAAGAGAATCCATTTTATCATTGGCTTATTTCCAAAAAGGTGCATCAATAGATCTCATGGCTTCACTATAAGTTTTAGGATCATCTTCAAGTAGGAAAGAATAAAATTTAGGACTAAAATCTTTTATTTTTCTAATACTTTTACTTATTCAAGGTTCAACATCCATGTGAACATCACTACTAAAAGGTAAAACAAAACTAGAAGCATCAGAAACATGTTTAGATAATTTATTCTTCAAAGGAAAAACATTTTCAAAGAAAACAATATCTCTAGATTCCAAAATTATATTATTAGAAATTTCTGCAACTTAAGAATTAATAACTAAAAATCTATAAGTAGTACTATGTAAAGAATATCCAAGTAAAACACAATCAATAGCCTGAGGACCAATTTTCCTTTTCTTATTAATAAGAATATTCACCTTTGCAAGACACCCTCACACTTTGAGATATTTTAGATTTGGCTTTCTATTTTTCCAAAGTTCATAAGGGGGGTTTATCTGAATATTTTATAAGGAATTCTACTCAAAATATAACATGTAGTAAACAAAGTTTCTCTCCCACAAATTATTTGCCAAACCAAAATTTATCAACATAGCATTTATCATATTCAACAGAATACGATATTTTCTTTCGACATTTTCATTTTCATAAATAATATCATGTGATTCAAAAAATTCACTCATTTCATTAGAATAATATTCTTATCCTCTATTAGAATGAAGAATTTTAATTTTTCTTTAATTGATTTCCAACCTCTATTTTATAAACTTTGAATTTATCAAGTAACTCACTTTTATGAAATACCAAATACAAATAGCAATATTTTGAGAAGTCATCAATGAAGGTAATAAAATATTTATTTCCACCACGAGTAATCACACCATTGCTATCACATATATCACTATGAATGAGTTTAAGTAATCAAATTTCCTTTTAAACATAATTTTGAAAAGATTTTCTTGGTTGTTTAGATTGAACACAAACTTCACATTTTTGTTTCAATTCACTAAAAGATTTAGGAATAAGATCAAAAGTCATCATTCTTTTAATAGATTTCAAGTTAACATGTCCAAGTCTATGATGCCAAGTATCACAACATTCAACACTTGAAATAGATGATGAAGAAATGCTACAATGTTTAATATTGAAAAATGACATGAGATTAAGTTTAAACAAACCATCACAAATATATCTTTTTCCAACAAAAGAGCCGTGTCGAGAAATTACAACTCTATTAGATTAAAAAAATAACTTTAAAACCTTACTAACCTAACAAAGCAACACTGATAGTTTTTTTTTTTCTAATTTCATAAACATGAAAAACTTCATCCAAGACAAGATGATTTCCTAAAGATCATTCTAATTCTACCCGACCTAGACCAATAATACATGCCACATTCTTGATATGAAAAGAATAAATTTTTTTATCAGGATACACATGAACATTACCTCCAGAGTCATTCCACCAATCATTTGAGTTATTAATAAAATTCAACTCTGGGCTAGTGACATGATACCTGTTAGATGGGAAATCCAAGCTAGAATTAGCAATAGTAACATTAGCCTAAGGTTGAGAAGATGATTTTGGATCATATGTAGTGTCTTTTGGTTGATGACAATGATGAAAATAATCTTTATAATAATGATTGTTTCTCCCACAAACAAAGCAAAAAGGTTCATTTCCTTGAATTTTACTCTTTGACTTGTAATTGTTATGAAAATCCTTATTTTATTTTTAGAGAAATGAGAGCTTTGACTAAACTTATTACTAGAAAAACCAGGTTTTTTGAAGAACTTTTGTTTAAGCTTATTAGAATTTCCCACTAAATGAGCCTTAGGTTGAAAATGAGGTTTATGATAATCCTTTTGTGAAAGACGATGCTTATCTTCACAAAGAAACCAATAAGTCAAATAAAGTGAAATGATCAGGTTTATGCTTAAGGCTTCTTGCAAATTTAGACCAAGGAGACAGTTTAGAAATTAAAAGACTTACAAGCATAATGATATTAATCTTCTTATTTCCTTCTAGCAAGAGTCAACTCAACTATATATGGCAAAACTTTTTGATGTTATTTTTTCAAATCAATGTGAGTGTGTGAATCAATAAATCCAGGCAAAGAAGATGAGAAATTTAGAGGGGATTGTGGGTGGAGGAGATGAGTGTTGATATTGATGACAAGAGAAGAAAATAGACGATTAAAGATAAGAAAAAATAGAGAGATTTGGGGAGGGGTGTGGGGGAAGAGAAACCAAAAGTTAGACAAAAATTCAATTCTTCTAGTCCCTGGTGAGGTGACTATAATTGTTCATCTAAAAGACAAGTTATATCATTGATTATGTGCAAGATGACTTAAGTGACATATTTAAAGTTCTATTATCAGGGACTATTTAGGGTGACAAAAATCAAAATTGAGGACTACTATGACATTGTCCCACAAATCCAAAGATCAAATACTTTACTAAAAAAAGTATGGAGAGAATCATTACTAGAAAAAAAATGAGGTGAGAAAGGAAAAAATCATTTTCAAGTTTGGCGATTTATATCTATTTGTAAAGATAATTAATTATGGATATATGTACATAATTGATTATGTATAATACCATAATCAATTATAAAAATAACCTTTTATTTTAAAAGTAAATATTTTAAAATATAAAAATTTAAATAATAAATAAACATTATAATAAATAAAAGAATAAAAAATATTTAATGAGTTGAAATTTATTAATTTAATTTTTTTCATTTAATTCAATATAAATCAATTAAAAAGATCATTTTTTTATTCTCTCCTATCAATCAACCTTAATTTATTATTTTATTTCTTAAGTTCTTTTATTTTATTTTCTTTATTTTTTTCTTCTCTATCTCACCAGACACTATTTAAAAGACTAATATTGATTGGTATAAGTGGTAGTAACTTTTGTCCCCTAATCAAGGTGTTTAAGACTCAAAGCCTAGTCTTGAGTATGGAGTAAAATATGTTGGGAGGAAAATATCCACCTTGTGTGTACTTATGGTGTTCAATGAAGATCAGTCACTACTTTCAATAATGGATACTTCAATCCAATGCCATGGTTACAAAAAAAAAAACTATTTAAAAGGTGAATAGCTGTCTCTAAGTAGAGAAAATTGACCACATTGTAAGGGACTTGTCCTTTTCACTAGACACAATTAGGAGTGTAAGTGGATTGGATTAGGTTGAGTTTTGATGAATCTATTATTTAACTAGTTCAAAATTCAATTGGTTGAGTTAGGTTGGATTTTGTGCATGTTTTAGTTTGAAATCCAACCCAACCCAGCCTGACACAATTGTGTTAGATTGAGTTAGGTTAATCGGGTCAAATATAATTATTCTTTTGAAAAATTTAAATAATATTTCATAATAAATGTAAATAAATTGATATCTTATTTCAAATGTAATTTTATCAACTTATAAAGTAAATAATAATATAAATTAAATTTCAAAATAAATTTGTTGATTTGTTACATTATTATTAATTCAAAAACTAACATTAATACAAAATAAAATTTAATTTAAAATAAATATGTTGTATTATTATAATGTTATCGATTCAAAAACACAAAACCCATTACTAATCACAAGTGACAGAAAATATTATCCTAAATAAGTAATTATCCAAATACTAACATTATTGTTATTATTATTATTATTAGTTGTTATTATTGTTATTTTAATTTTTTTTTATTATATGTGACTGAAACAGATTGGATCAAAGACTATACAAAATACAGAACTCATTATTCAACATGTGCAATGTAGACTTTCGGTGGATTGAGTGGAATCTAACCTAAACAGTAAACACTAACATAAATTCAATTAATGTTCTCGACATATCCAAGCCAGGTAAAAAGAGAAAATTAATGTTACCTTGCATTAAAAACACACGGTCAACTTATTTTTGAATTCAGTAACTCTAGAGTGAAGTTTTAAAGAATGTGTTTTGTTGACCATTAAGAAACGGCAAATATCAAGGACTTGTTTGACACAGTAGCTTTAATAATCTATTTTCATGTTTATCAAAGAAAGTTTGTTCCACTAAATTTGTTTGTTTCTTACGATAGTTTTAAAACAAGTTTCAAAAACTCAATAAATTTTCAAAACTACAAATCAAAATCATGTTTGAAAACTGAAATTTACATGATTCACGTGTAACTTACTGAATCCAGTCAACCCCCACTACTTTTGGTGAGGAAGATAATACATCTTCAATTAATAAAGATGTTTTGAATAGGTTTTTAGAATAAAAGTTTTTATTTATTTTTTTATAATCATAATATTACTACTTATTAAGGACTATGAGATAGACAATGTAAGTGTTTCTCTCTCAACTCGACATTTTAGTTAAAAAAACAGCGGCTACCACTTGCAGTGATTAATGTTGAAACACAATTATTTAACTTTTCCTGTTTTACTTGTATAGCTGATTCTTTTATAAGAAGTCTGACAACTAACTTCTTTTGACAAAAAGAGAAAAAGAAATACTCACATAAAATTAATTGAGAATCCAAGATTTTTTTATTTATTTAAGTAAAATATAGAAAATTTCTCAAATCTTACGTATCAATACTCAAAAGAACCCGTAAAATTAAAATGCATTTAACAACTAAGAAAAACACCATTAATTAACAGCTAGTCAATTTCAACACCTATTCTGCAAACACAAATGAGGTTCTCTTTATCAATTCCATGAGAATGTACAATACCTCTTATTTCCTGCCTTTCAACACATGATTTCTTTTTCCAAAAAGACAGGAACATAAATTCGAAACAAAAGCCGATCGAGGAGAACAAAGTATATATAATTCTGTTACCATGAATTCTCACTCCAAAAGGTAAAAATACCATAAAAAATAATAAAGAGAACTTCACTAAAATGGTATAGTCAAAGCCACAAGGCTCCAGCATCTTTGAGTATAGGAACCAATTCACCTGAGATATGGGTAGCCATCAATCTCTCCAACCCTCCAAACAACTTCCCTCCCACGAAGACCGCCGGAAACTGCACCCTCCCGCCGTCATCTCCGCCGCCACCGACAACCTTCCGGGACAGCTCGGCGGCCACGGCAGCCTCGTCAACCTCATCAACCTCGTACACGGGAGGGTTCACTCCTAGGCCTTGCAACAACTTTTGCACCACATGACACATGCAGCACCCACGTGTCCCAATCACCATCACTGGATTCTCCGACACCATTTTTACCACGTTGTCCAGCTCCGCGCCATTGCCGTCGCCGCCTCCTCCGTCGGCGGTGGCCGGTGGTGGGTCGGGGATTTGATTTTTTTGGTGCATTTTTGTGTGAGAGAGAGAAAGGTGGCTGAGGAGAATGGCGTGAGGAAAAATATAAAAAATAAAATAAAATAAATAACGGGCATGGACTCTCACGTCAACGGCTGTTACGCAATCTCGTACGTCATAGTAACTGTAGTGACAAGATTTGCGTCACGGACTTGGTCAACCTATTATCAGAAGCTGCGTCCCACTCATGAATCATGATGACTCACAGTAGGAGATTTTGTTAGTTTCATACGAGATAAACATCCACGTGAGGATATTTGTGTATTTATTATAATAATAATATTTTGACTAAAGTATATTTTTTAAGTATTATATATATATATATATATATATATATTTTAATCTTTTATCTTTTAAAATATTTATTTTATTTTTTTATCTCCTCGATTTGGATTTATTTAATTCTTTTGAAATGACAGTTATTTTTAATTTTGAGAAATAATTTTAAATTTTTTGTTAATTAGTTTAAAACTTAAAATTTGTCTAAATAAATTCACTTATATTTTATATTAGAATTATCGAATGAAATTGAAGTTTAAATAAAAAGTATTATAAATAAGTCTAAAAAGTAATAAAAATATTCTAAAAATTTAATTTTATATTATTTTTTAATTGTTCGTGAGATATATATTTATCATTATTTTGGATTCGAACATTCACTGAATTTCATAATTTTTATGTAGGTGAATATAAAAAAATAAATTTTAAGTTTTGAGTCTATGAACAAAAGATTTAAAATTGTCTCTCAAAATTTAAAAATCACCACTATCTCAAAGTGATCAAATAAGTCTAAATGTGAGACCCCCACTTCCGTTTTCCTTTTCTCCCTCAACCTTCATCACTCTCACTCATTCTTTTCTCTCTAGCTGAAGAGGTGATTCCTTGAGGTTCATTTTCTCAACCGCAAGCTGTGTGGAGTTAGCTGGAACCGGAGACCCTTTTCTCTTCTCCTCCTACGTTGTTCAAGCTCCTTCTTCTCCATTCTCCGCGATCCCAAAGCTCGGATTCTTCACCGAGGTAAGGGAAGCTAGATTTTTGGCTGAAAATGAGTTCTAGAAGCTCATTATTGTTTGATGATGGATGATTTTGGATGAGATTGATGAAAAATGGATTTTCCGGGGTTTTCGAGGTTTGGGTGAAAAATTTGGGATTTTAATTGATTTGAGGTTGCATGTTGGAAATGAGGTGCTTTTATATTGATGTTTAATGGAAATGTAAACTTTTGGATGGTTTGCATGTTGGTTTCCTGGTGTTTTTCGCAGGTTTTGATGAAATTTTCGAAGTAGGTGAGGGTTCCTGTTTGAAATTGCGCTGGGCGCAGTTCTTCGCGCCGGGCGTGATATGGAATGGGGAATTCCTGTGTGAATCACGCCGGGCGTGGGGAGAACTACGCCGGGCGCACTATCAAACGTGAATCTTATGTTTTTGTTACTGATACTGCCCCGGGCGTAGGATTATTGAGCCGGGCGCAATAGACCTCTGTAGGTCTCTGGTT